TGCTAATGAAAGCCAGGCCAATGTTCGGGAATTTTTTACACGGCATTCCATTTCGCGAAAGATGACGAGTATATGCTTCATGTCACTGCGTCGAGCGAAGCCATATCGTGCTTTACGCAAGGACTGGGCACGGGCCCTGACCCTCTCGAACTGCACTGGGATATGACGACCACGCACAACTCCAAGTGGAACCAAAGAGTAATCGATATTCTGTGTTCTCAGTATACTTGCACGTTTGAGACGAACCAATTGGCCACAAGATCTCCTCAGTCCATCAAAACGATATTACAAAGAAATTCAATCAATGCCGCAGTTCCTGGAGAAGAGCCCAGCCTCGTGTGCTTGACGATGGCACTCGTGAGACTATGAAAGATGTAGGAGACCGACTCGTGGATCAGACCAACGATTGCGGGTCACAAGGGTCCTCACTCGCAGGGCGACAGTTAGTCATCTTTCTGATTGGCTTGAAGAATGCTAAGTTGCTTTCTAGAAGTTCGAAACTCGTAAGAAAGTCACGTCGGCCCTGCTAAGTGACAGGATAGCGACCGGAAAGGATGACCAGCTGTATGGGCGTATCTACAATCCCTGTGGAGACTCTGGGCAAAGATGGCATGAGCTCTGACGAGAGTGAGCAACGAAGATGCGAAGTTCAGGTGTTTCGTCTGAAGAAGATGCCGTGGAGAGAGCAGACGTCGATCATGAGATGCATATCATTGATCACAGCGGTTGGCGGTGTGCTTCAAACTTCACTCCCCGCGGAAGCAAACCCGCAAAGCGTTTTCGCAACGCGATCCAAGAGTCTTCTCGCCCAGCAATCGAAGGCTTACCGAGGGCGTTATACAATTCATCGTGGTTGAATGCCCAATCTCCTTCGTTCACAGTATCTGACAAGAAGCTTCAGAGAATGGAAATTATCCTTTCCCGCTAGTGATCATATAGCCGCCGTTTGTACGTGTACTGATAGCGTGTATAGTGCCCCCTTGTATGTGCCGCCTTGTACCCCCCTTGTACCTATGTAGTTCCACCAACTCGTGTAGTTTCAATTGTACCTTCTAATATGACGCTCACATGGGCAACTCGATCCGGCAAGTTTACGACGAGCGGGCGCTGATTCGACGGAGCAGGTGCTATTCGACGAGTGGGCGCTGATGCGATCAGCAGAGTTTTATTTTGCAGTCGTTCACTATATCAGGCGCGTCCTTTCATCTCCTGCACTTTCTTTCTGATTTGAATGTTAATATAGATGTTATGTACGTATTGGTCGCAAAAATCTAATACATTGTCTCACTCTGTTGGATATCCTCCCGGCATTCCAGCAAGGCTGCCTACTGTGTAGTGCGTTAGACCATTGTCACACTGTGCGTCGGTTCATGGACGCACCTTGCCCACCAATCAACAACTGTGGTTTTGCGCTTGGAATCGTGCCGAGGGAAAACGATCCGCGCTTCATGCTGTTCCAAATGTACTGTCCTACAGGTATGATGAAGTTGTCGTTGGTTTGAAGCTTGTAATGAACATTATCAATATAGATTGCTGTGACACGAATTCATCACCATACGTTTCTGTTGTCGTTTGTTCTGGGATTCTTGGGGTTCTCTGCACCCTTGGAGTAATGCTTCGACATGATGTCATCCACTTCCATACCTAACAATGCACCATCGAGTGCCGCATAGATGCGCTCGCGTAATAGGTCAGTTGTTGGATGCCCCCCTTCACAATGACGGCGGAGATACTTGTTTATCGCCTTCTTTAGGCCGCAAACAAGTTCTCTTTTCTTCAAAGAAAGGTGCCCTACATCCTGACTGCTGCTGGCGTCACTGGCAATGTTGGCCATCAAGATCTGCGCCTGAAATTTCTTGAACACGGTGAGTCCGCGAGCCTGTCTGTAAGACTATGTTGCTAACCTCATCGCCCGCTACATCAGGGCTTTGAATTAAAACATCTTGCGCACTTCCCAATGGCCCGCCGGGTGATTTGGGTTCGTCAATGGACATGGCGGATCCCATCCACATGAGCTGTGTGTTTAGCTGGGAAGGATCAGTTGAGTAGTTTCTTCATCAGATCACGCTCACTTCATTTACCATCTCCTGTCCCAGACGAACATCGTACTCGTTGAAACACATGGCAAACCTCCTCGTCAGAGGTGCTGTGATTGATTTCAGCTTTTTGTTCCCTGACGCCTCCATGGGTGGTGAGGGCCGAACATATGGATTGAAGCGTTTGCTACGGATTTGAGTGGGTTTACTGCAGGGTTTACTGCAAGGTGATGTTAGTGTAGACGGCATAAGTGAGTTGCAGGATTGAGAAATTCGTGTAACTTTTAAATCAAGTCCTATGGTATGCATTTAGGCCATCTAGAATTTTATCCCGTAGTTCGTCAATTGTATTCCCTTGGTGATGAAACATTTCTGGTTTATCCCCTCCGCAGGTGAGAAACTCTGGTTTATCCTCTGGTTTATCCCCCGTTTAATTAAGTGATCAATTTAAGGCCTACTGATCAATTTTCGCGACCAAACAACAAGCTTCTTCGGAACAATCACTTCGAGCAACTTAAAGCGAGGTCCTCTTCAATCCTTCTAAGTAATTTTGCGATGGGAAACTCGTTAAGTCACATTTCTGGTCGGAAATCCGTTTTCCAGGAGGTACGCTCCTTATATTCATTCCATTTGGTTGTGACCTACAATTCGTTATACACAGTCCCGGGACTCCTTGTTGACAACTACCCTCTCTGGCACGGTGAGGCCCTCACGCGTACATAGGCACTTGCTAACTGATGATTTGTAGGACATCGGCACTATAGCAAAGGCACCCTTGAAGCGTAAATTTAATTCTAATGACGACTGGCTATCCCCGCGAAAGCGACGCCTCCTGGAATCTTATTCCACCGGCGACATAAGCCAGGTTGTTGTTGCGGTACATCTTAATTTCTAACCTTGCGCATCGGTGTTTGATCCAGTTTCAAGCCTCAAACGATACATCGTCGCAACACTGACTTTACAAACCCCTCGGCCAAGCGCTTGTACAGGGAGGCGGTACGGAAAAACCTCATACAATATATTTGCGTCCGCTGATCTCGACCCTAGTCTGATATTTTCCTGAAGCGTAAAGCGGATGCTAAACTAGATCCCTTTTCAATAAAACGCGTCATACTGTATGAGCCTTGTCACGCCCCGGCATTCATATGGTCCCTACCCGCTGAAATTCTCTTTGCTATCGTCGCTCTTTTAGGAGTGGAAGATTTGCGCTGTGTTACTCAAATTTGTTCTCTGTTAAGAGAAATCGCCGGTCCCCTCTTCTTCATCAACCGGAACTTCCCAACTTCACCGCAGGACATGTTTCACATCCGTGTAGACTCGCACAATTTTGACGTTCTACTTACTTGGATACGTATGGATACCTTTCGTCCTCCGCGTATGATGTTGTGTTGGTTAGATCCTGATCTGCGGTCCACGCAACTCTCTGCATTTTCGTACTTTCTCCAGTCCGTCCCCCATAAATCCATACGATATATAACACTTTTCTGGAATTTTGACATTCTCACTTGCTCAGTTCTCCCTCAGATCGTTACAGTCCTCGAGAACATCCGCGCCTCCGGCTGCGAGGATATGACATGCATGTCATTCCACGGTCGCGTTGGCTCATATGCATCATCCGTCACTGGACTCACCAGAATTCAGGGGGATGTGGGCGTGAACCACCTCAAAACCTTTGATGCGTCATCACAAGCATTATTTTCCCCCGAACTCCTTGCTTTCACAATCCAGACCATTCGCTTTTCCTCTTTGGAAAGGCTCCGACTCAGTTCCATCAAACTCAGTCCTTCACACTGGACAAACTGCTGCGGCACTTGACCATCCCAACGCTCGTCGAACTTCGAGTCGATGCTGATTGTGCTCCATCTACGCTCAATCGCTTTCTGGCCCGTCACCCCCGGCGTCCAAGACCTCAGTATCATTCCGCGACCTGGTTGCCTCTGGAGGACCCATCGAGTCAACCCTCCTTTAGTGTTATCGGTATCTACGCTAGATGGCCCTTTGTCTCATGTCCTCCCAGTCCTTCGGAGTCACCATAAACCACCCACCCTCTCCTGCCTTGCTCTCTCGTTGCAAGCCCACGATGCTTCACCTGACTACCTTACTGCCGTCCTACAATGTATCCGCTATTGCAATAGCGTTGGATACCTCGACCTTTCCCTACCTCCGCAGAGTCATTCCCATTCGGCAATGATTTACTCAGGTACCCAGTCAGCAATTCATGTTAAGCACTTGGGGATTTTTTCGGACGTTGCAGGCTCGTGCTCCACTTCGGCGGGAGATGCATTGGTACGTGTTTGTTAAAGCGCTATTTCAATACCTGAATACTAACTGTAGCTCCAGGCGTTATCTGCTTCGTGGATTGAAGCCTTTCCTCGAGTCAAACGTGTTAGCATGCGAGGCTGTTCCAATCGCACTGCCGAGTATCTTGTCAACAAGATGCGCAAATTTGCTGCTGCTGATGTCGAACTGTCTGTGAAGCTGCATACTGAAGATTCCTTGTAATTTATGGTTTGTTACGCGCCCGCCTAGCTTGTCCATCTCCTCAGAATAAAATACTCAAAGGCTGCATTTGCGTGTATGATACTGATACTTACAATGATATGTCCTGCTGTACTGCTAGCGCTATATATTCCATCCAAAAGGGCGCACATAGCGTAACGCAAATTGCATCCGCGGGCGTTTCGCTCCATATATAGAATCCTACTTTGCAAATTTGACTGACATATTTTCCAATGCACCAGCCGCCAATGCCCGCCAAAAATTCCCAGCGGGCGCTGGGTGCCAAATTCTGGCGGAGCTTGATTATGTAGTCATTCACTATATTAGGTACGTTCTCTCTGTGCTTTACCTCTTTCCTATTGTCTTACCGTTAATACCCTATACTTACGTGGATTCCAGGCTCGCTCACTCATGTACCTTAAATATAGCACTACTATGTACTTATATACTTATCGTGATGTTTTTATTTACGTTGAGCGTTCGAGATGTGGTGCGTTGTTCCCTTGACGGGATGAACGTGATTGAAATGAAAAGTTAGTCCATTATGCGCGAACAGCGACCGCATATCAAATTTCGGCCCCCCTGTAAGTACCTCCGCCGACTTGATGATCAGTGCTAACTACTTTCCCTATCGTCGCTCTCATATATCCCACAAGACCAGCGAAGCCAGTTGTACATTGAAGTTCGTTAGATGCCTAGCCGAACATTCCTTTGCAAATGTACGCAATGCTGCGAAGTTGGAGGTGACGGAGTGCCTAGTAATCCTGGCGGCAAACAACTGCCCGTCGCGATGAAGCATGTACATTCGTTGCAAGCTGCCAACATCGCTTCCTCACTTCGTGAAGCTTCTGTGCTTCATCTTGCTCGTCAGACCTTAGAGCCCGGTGATTCACGTCACTTCACAGATCGTCAAGCGTCGTCCTCCCAACCTTTGGCTCACCCAACACATTCACCCACAACATCGACGCCAGTGGATGACCTTGCTGCTGAACTATTCGCGATCACCCTAAGCGACGAGGGCGACCCAGATAGTCATAGCAAACTCTGGGTCTCCCGATCAGAGGTTCAACGGGACAAGGGAAAAAGCTACTCTCTGGATGCTACGGCCAATCTGATGTCTGGACTCACTCTGGATGATACGCAGTAAGCATCGTATCAGACATCACCTTATATCGAGCCCTCTAATTAGGTTGTTTCTTAGACATATTGCCCGTGCTCTCCAGGCTGTTGGAGTGCGGCGCCAGTCAAGGGCTCAAGTAACTTTGAACATTGTAGAGTCACAGATTGCTAGAGCTCGTACTCGAATTTTCTCCGCGACTTCTCGCGATGTACTATGTCTCATACGAGATGAGCTAGGTGGAATAACTACAACCCTCAGAAAAGTCAAACACAAGGTCTCCTCCATCGTTTCTCGTAGAAGCCAGCTGGAAGCCTCGTGCGATGAAATGCATAGACTGCTCACCAACAAGGAAAACGACCTTCCTGTGTCATCTCAACCAGTCGAGTTTGATTCTTGTGAGTTCCATGCATTTCCTCCCTATGTTCCTCCGACTAATGTCCTATAAAGCACATCATTACGATTTGCCAATCGACTACTGTGACGAGGTTGCCCAACTATCCCTCTTTTTAGGGGCAGTTTCTGTTGTCATCTTTGGTATCGGTCGCAGACACGGGGAGTTTCTCATGGGAGTTCTATCCCTAATTTTGAGTCTTGCGATGGATGCGCAGGACCCTCATTCCGAGTCTCGTCGGCAAAACACTCTTGCTCAGATTCCGCGATCTATGGAGAGCGCGCTTTCACGCTTCAAGCTCGATGGCCAGACCACTACTTACGCAGTCTGTCCGGCGTGCAATTGTACTTACAAGCCGACGGCCAACCTCAACACAAGTAACGCGCGATATCCCACAAATTGTTTCAACAAACCCATACCAGAAGGTGATCCTTGTGGCGAACCGTTGCTGCAGCGCTCCGCTGACGGGCAATTCGAGCCAATAAAAATATTCCTTTATCACCACTTCCACGACTACCTTGCCGGATTGTTGTCTCGTCCCGACTTGGAGGCCTTGATGGATAGGCCTTGTGATGATTTACTAGCCTCCATTGGGAGTACACCGCATATCGTCAAGGATGTTTGGGACGCAAGTTTCTTTCGCACCTTCCAGGGTCCGTCCGGCCAGTCTCTATTTATCGACAGAGGCGATGAAGGCCGATACGCTTTCACACTCAACGTTGATTTTTTCAACGTCGAAGGCAATCGTCAACGAAATGCATCAACATCCACCGGCATCATCTCATGCGCATGTTTGAACCTCCCCCTCGATATCCGGTACAAACACGAGAACATGTACTTAGCTGGTATCATCCCTGGACCTTCAGAACCTTCAGGAGACGAGTTGAATTTCTTTCTAGATCCTGTGGTTGATGATATGGTTGAAAGTTGGGAACACGGAATACGTTATAGCCGCACAGCTCTCAACACTCGCGGCCGGGTTACACGCAGCGCCATAGCATGTCTAGTATGTGACCTCCCGGCAGCGAGAAAGGCCGCTCAGCTAGCGGGTCCAACGAGCCATTTTTATTGCACTGCCTGCCATTGTTGGCACAGATCGACTTGCGGTCGAACAGACGTCCAGTCTGAAGATTGGAGACTTCGGGACAAGGACGAAGTGCGCCGCCATGCTGAACTCTGGAAGAATGCAGGAACTTCTGCTGAACGCAACAAGTTGTTCGCATCACACGGGGTGCGGTGGTCGACACTCTGGAGGTTATCATACTGGGATCCTTCTCGCCAAATCGTCGTCGATGCCATGCATTGCCTGCTGGAGGGTCTCGCGCACGCTCATTTTCGCGAATTTTTAGGCCTTACATCTGATTCCGCACATCGCAAGCCTGATGTTATCCCTGCTTTTACTTATCTCTTCCTTGACGTCGACCTCAACAAACCTCAAGACTTCCCAGAAAAAGACGTCAGAGTTGTCAAATCAATTCAGAGTCTCCTTACTGAAGCAGTCCCCAACCTTGAAGGGAATGACCCACAGCTTATCGAGGATCACCTCGCGCAGTTAGAGAGAAAATTGTTGAACAAGACAGTTGCATCCCTTCGGTTTGTGTCGGAAGGATTGGGTATCACGCCAGACATCCCTCACGCTGGCAAAAAAGTCTTCAAACCCTATTGGGTTAGATCGCTCATCAGTTGGGTGAGTATTTTATATTGTTGGTGTTATTGTACGCTCTTAAGCTGCCTCTGTGTAGCGTCGAACTCAACCTTTCGCGCCTGAGCTGTCAAACTTGCGCATTGCTACCCCAGAGGTCATGCGACGCATTACTGATGTGATTAGGACGACGGATACGCCATCCTCGATAAGATCAGTCCCCAGTAACTTTGGGGAAACAAAAGCTGGAACCCTGAAGGCCGATGAATGGCGCACGTTAACTGACATTATACTTACCCATAGCTCTGGTTAGCTTGTGGGGCGAGGGATCTACTCACCGCACGTCGGAAATCGCAGTCAGTCGTCGTGCGATCCTTGATCATACGATGGCCCTCGTATCTGCTGTCCACATCGTGTGTCAACGATCTATGACAACGGCTCGAGTAGAAGCATACCGTGCATGCATTATCGACTGGATGAGGGACCTGCAGGTATTGCTTCCACGTGCACCCCATCGCACGAATGGCCATATGGCGTTGCATGTTTGGGACTACTTGCAGCTCTTCGGTCCGGTAAGGTCATGGTGGTGCTTCCCATACGAGCGTCTCATCGGGCAGCTGCAACGGTTGCCCAACAATCACATTTTCGGTACGATTCTAACTTCTGTGTCAATAACGGACTTACGTGCCTCACGCAGGTCAGCAAGAATCCACTCTCCTTCACTCATACATGAAGGCGGCAAAGCTTAAGTATTGGCTAAACCGACCTTCTTGTCCTCCCGTGTTTAGGGAGGTGAAGTCTCTATTCGACAGACTCGTGTCTCCCTTAGTCGACGCTGATCCTATTTCTGTGTCCAAAGATCGCCCCCTTACACAACAAGTCATTCCAGACGACCTCCATCAACTTATCCAGGTTCGGCGGGCAATCTTGCACGCTCGCACATTCTATGAGGGATCCATCTATACCCGTGACTCCACCCATGTAGGCAACAGCCTGATCCTCTATTATCATGGCGGTATCAGGAACGTCCCCCCAACACCAGGGATCATCAAGTACATTTTCGAGATGGAGCGAGTAGTGGGCTTTGCCGTACGGCGTTACCTCCCTCTGCATTCTCACCTCGATCCTTTCAGACACTATCCTTACTTTCCGGCTCGTTTACATTCTACAGTGCTCGTCGATCATCTCGAAACTGTCAAACCTGAGTGGGTAGTATCACACTTCGCACGATGGAAATTTTCTCCGCAGCACATTGTTGCTGTGTCCTTGTGTCGAGTATGTCCCTCCCCATTTTTCACACGTCATTATCTCACGATGTATAGGACTGAATTTCAAAACGCAGATTCACCCATTTGCAGCGGGGTTCTGGATCCGGGAAAATCCGAACTGAGTCTGAGTCATTCACTATAAAAGGGTCCAAATGTAGATGTTATCTTTTTTCCCTTCTTCCCTCTTCGGAATATATCATCCGTTATTGCCGTTAGCCTTTCTGTACATACATATCCGTATCTCTTATACATATTGTCACACACATACCCTGTACATTTTACCCATCATGAACGTTGCAGTGCCTCTCGAAGGTACCTCTACCGTAGAACCAGTTACGTGTCCTATTTCGGACGGCCCCTATCTAGGTCCCAATGACGTCATTGATACTCCTATCAAACGGGACAGTTCTACCATGCTGCCCTTTACGACTCTAACACGATGCCGGCTCGAAACTATCAATGCTATGGGTAAAGAGATGAAAGGGTACTTCGTCGGCCCGATGCCAGCTGGGGACTTTCTCCAGGAATTTTTACCAACTTCTCAGATTCCCGATTATGATCCTTCGTCCTTCACTTCAGCCTTCGCTGTTGGCGCATTCAACCGCACGGTCTCTGTTAGAAATGAGGAACATGCTTACACACCCTTCGTGAGTATACCCTCGCACATACGCTATTGAGATTATTGATCGCCTAACCCCAGATTAACGCCATCAAACCTTTCGCTCCTCAACTGTCGTTTGTCGACACTCACAAATACGAAGACACGAAAAACTGTTCGAAATTAAATTCAAAGGTATTCAACATTAAGCCGGACGTCTGCGTGTATCCCGATGGATGCGAACCTTCATCTCCCAACTGTGATGTTTCTACCACAGAAATCATCATAGAATTCAAATGGTCACCCTCACACGACGCATTCCGTCAACCTGGAGCTGATAGCCTCGTGTCCCAGACGGAGAAGGGTATGGACACCCTGGGACAAATAACGAGTTATACTGCAGCTCAGCTCGGCACCCAGTTCCGTACCCACGTATTCTCTGTCCTAATCGTGCGTGATCGCGCTCGGATCATCAGATGGGATAGGGAGGGGGCTATCGTCACCAGCCCCATCGACTACAATAACGAGCCACACTTGGCTGACTTCTTCTATCGTTACGCACGGGCATCGCCTGAAATGCGTGGTGTTGATACTTCCGTCACGCTTGCTGGCGACGAGGAGGCCGACCTCGCAAGGTCACGGCTAAATATCCCCAGTACCACTCGTATGTTCAAAGTCGATGTCCCTCATGTCGAGGGCTCTGGCTCGGTGACATTGGTCTTTCCCCAACCTGTTATGAAACCTCACTCGCCTGTTGGCCGCTGGACACGCGCATGTCCGGCATTCGATCTTGTCAACAAGAAGCTCGTGATGCTCAAGGACTCTTGGCGGGTATCATTACCCGATGTCTTACCGGAAGGCGAAACGTACAAGTTATTGATGTCGAAAAAAGTTGCCCATATTCCAAAGTGTATTGCATATCATGATGTACCCCCCTCTATCGCTCAGCAATCTACTCAAACTGCCAAGTTCGGCAGTGCTGAATGGGCACTTCCCCACTTGCCTCTCACTCCGCACACTCATCACCGTCTGGCCCTCGATATTGTGGGCAAAAATTTGACCGAGTTTGAGAGTTCTCATCAACTCGTTTCGTCTGTGCGTGATGCACTGATTGGTACGTGTTTTTTTAATCCTCACACAACTTATTCATGATCTATCACCGTAGCTCACAAGGATGCATTTGAACTCGCGAAGGTGCTCCATCGAGACCTCAGTGTTGGAAACGTCGTCATCTACAAAGGGAAGGGCTACCTGATTGACTGGGACCTCGCAAAGTTGGTTAACATTAACGGTCCCTGACAAACGACACGCACGGTATGTTCACTCCACGCGCTTTAAATCTCGTACTTATTTTGCTATCACTAAGGGAACTTGGCAATTCATGTCTGCATACCTCGTCGAGCATAAATATGCCATACACTCGGTCAAGGATGACCTTGAGTCCAGTTTTTACGTCGTTCTGTGGACGACTCTTAAGTACAAGGAGACGTACATGGACATCGTTCGCCGGACATCACTCATAACACAGGTCTTCGAAACCAATCCCGGATCATCCTCGAAAGCAGATTGGCTCATCGGGAGAAGCAATCTTCCCAATCTTATGTATGTCGACTGCAAACCGCTCGACAGTCTCATCCATGCACTCGCTGAGTTCTTCTCGCATCGGTACACGCGGGTCACTGAGCATCAGCAGACGGTATATAATAAATTCCGGCTCGCACACGAGAAAGCGACGCGAAATGTCCCTGTCGTACAAGACCTGTTGGCAGCTTCATATGCGCTCATGACGGACTCCCCTGTTTACCAGAAGGAGATAGGTATGAAGGTCCTGGGCTCACACGACGCCGTGATAGGCATTTTCAACGATCATCTTGATTTATCTGGTTGGCCTGTCGCAGACTCTGCCGTTCTGCAAAAACTCAAGTCGGAAGAGAAGTACGAACCAGTCTTGGTCACGAAGTCCCAGTCGTTATTTGCCTCAGGGGTAGAAATCACAGTGTCTGGCAAGCGGCGTAGGCTAGATAATGCGGACGATGATGGTGATGATCTCAGCTCGATAGCTGACCTGGATGCACTTACGTCCCTTACTTAACCATGTATCTTCGTATTCTAGTTGTTCACGAGTTTACAATATAGTGCATTTGTCAGTGGAGTGAATGCCTGATGAGTGAATGCCTGATGAGTACCCAACGCCAACGAGTGCCCGATGAATGCCCGATGAGTGCCCGATGAGTGCCCACGTCATTTTTCTCGTGCTAAAAGTTCACATTTTACGTTCCCCATTTTAACTTGCAAAAAATTTGATTATGCTGCAATCGGAAAAATGTACCTAGTTACATGAAATTCTGAGGAAAACTTTCCTGCGCTCAAAACTTTGTATTTTATGGCGCTCAAAATGGTACATAAAATGTAGAATTTCACCTGGGATTTTGGCACACATCCAAATTTTTTATTTTTATTCGGTCAAAATGTATAGTCAAAACGCCAACTTTATCACTGACATTTTGAAACCAATCTCACATAGTGAAAAACTCCCAAACCACCCGTGTGTGAGGTGTTCTGGATAGGGACGGACGATTGGTTATTTCCAATTCGGTATCTACCGGGTACCTGTGGGTGGAATATGCCGTGTGCCTCTTGGTGACATCATGGATTGCATGGTGATACAACAAATTAAACTTCTCGAGATTATGATGAGGTATCTCCCTACATCACCCAGCGATTCGCAAGTTGATCAAATCAGCGGCGTATCGTAGACGATGATGCACAATGGTCAGCCCGTTCACGATGATGTACATACTAACAGGATAACAAGTCTATACAGTGACATGTTAGTACGTAGTGATATCGAGCTGATGCGCAGCTGTGGCCTGGGACCTGGTCAACACTGGTTCTGCAGGTTTAGGACGATGTGGGTGATCCAGAAGGCAACTACACCGCATGTTTGATACTATCTGGACTTTAGTAAGATACGTCATGCCACTTTATCGCGGGAGAGAGAGCGGAGGGCTGACACATTAATATTGGGGAAACTATGTAGCTGTACGTGATGGCGGTGCGGGGTGAAAGTTTCGGATGAAACGTGGTGGCGTGGGGTAATTAATTACTAAATATGCTTGACCTGGTAATGTCTACTGGGGGCCGCTGCTGTCGGGTTTAGAACTGAGAATCGTGGTGGTGGAATCGAAAAAGTGGAGCGAAGTCGGTACTGGGACAATAAGGATACTGGCGGGACGTCAGGCCAGAGATAGAAGCGACGTGAAAATTCCGGCTGTAATGGGGAAGCCAGGTCAAGGCTGTCAAGTAAGTTGAGAGCTGGGCCTTAAATGGAGACTGATGTTAAGAAGGCTTTATAAAAGGGAACGAATCTTTAGTTTTACGTGCGTAACGGCGGAAATCTGAACCGGCAGGAAGCATTGCCTGAGGGCACACTGAACGGGTGCCGTCCGGCTGTGGAGACGGTAAAATAAATGATGGAGTGTACCGATGGCAGAATTCTCTGCTTTATTCAAAGGGACTCGCATGGGTTGGCGGGCAAGTTAGTCGAGCGTGAGTGTGTGCGCACTGCGGTGCGTGTCCTTGCTCTATAGAGTCAACTTGAAGTCGGAGATTTAAGGAAGGCGTGTGTACACGTCAAAACTTTATTCGTTCCGACGGTGCGCTCCACGTGTTGGCTGCGCAGTTTCTTAAGAACAAACGTTTTTCCGTTTAGTGCTTTTTAGTTAGCCCGTAACGTTGTCCCTCCTATATCCTTCTTCCCATCATGTCGTCGTCTGCACCACAAGCGACGACATCAACACCCCCAACGACAGTAGCACCTACAACTGTTGTAACATCACCCAGTATTACTACTTCTACTACATCACCAAGTATTTATTCTCCCCTTCGTCTCTTCAATCAGTACTGATTGATCATTAGCTACTAGTACCACTCCATCAACGTCATCAACGCCCTCATCGACGCCCCCATCTAGTTCAGCAGCAACACCAACTACAACACCAACATCTTCCACACCTTCCGCGACAACTGACAGCAATGGACAAACTTCAACTAACCCTGCAACCACAAGTACCACTCCAACAACAACCTCCATGACATCTGTCCCGACTACAGTACCCCTCGTTATTACGTTCGTCCTTTTTTATCTCATGTCTTTTACAGTCCTTTATCCAATATACTACTAGCTCAACAAATGCATTCGGATCAATAACCATCATCACAACAGAGACATCCATAACAACCTCAATCCCTGTCTCAACTTCCTCTTCCTCTTCCACAAACAACTCATCAGACACCGGCCCAATCGTAGGTGGCGTAGTCGGTGGTGTCGCCGCGATCGCTATCCTCGCCCTCCTCATCTTCTGCTTACGCCGTCGCAGAAGGCGAGATGAGTTCGATGGCAACTTTGACCCCGATCGTGTTATTTCCCAACCTTCGGGGGGCGGAACTCTCCCCCAAGTCGACCTTGGCGAGGAAAATGAGATCACCCCTTACACTGACTATGGTAGCAGCATGCGCCAATACGGAGAAAGCCCCTTCCTACCTGCGGGTGCGGCCGCCGGCGCAGCAACTGCCGCAAGTATAAACCGCACAACTTCCCCACTTAGCTCTCCCTCCCAATACAGCGACACCGCCACCACTGCTGCCGAGGGGTACCCCTCTCAGGGCTTCATTCGCCCAGGCCCGGGCCTGTACCCCCCAGGCGGACCAAACATGTACTCAATGCAGCAAGCAGACTGGCACAACCCACGCCCCCTCACATCTCCCGCACCAAGCGACAGCAACGCGTCCTCCAGCAGCCGTGCAATGAAGGAGAGAGAGGCTGCTGCTGGCCGTCAAGGCCTCGGCCTCGCTACCCAGCATGAAGTTGACGGAGAGGGTTCTGGCGTTATCCAGCACCAAGATGCGGGACAGGTGCATAGTGAAGAAGGCGAACCAAGAGATATTCCGCCTGCGTATAACTCTATAAGGCAGTAGACTTGTGCAGGGATTCCAAAAGGTGATATTTGAAGTTGAATATGTGATACTACCCCCCCGCCACGTTTCGGTGGACACCTCTTTTGGACGTTCATACGCATGTACAGTGCATTGTCATCGTCATCACGATCTTAGACACTGATTCCTTGTTTATTTTCGACACAAGTTGTCGTACTGTGTTTGGTGGCTCTGACTACCTGTTTCTCGTTATACTTACCAGCACATTTCATGCATGCATCGTCATATCATGTTTTTTGTTCATTCTTACGATACATCAATGCAAATTGCATTTATAATCACCTCGCCGTTCACCCTCTTCCAGAGCATTGCAAGTAGTAAACATGTATAAATACAGAACGTTCGAGTCAACTTGCTTGGCTGCCATCATTCCTATCAGCGGGATCACATGCAACACCCACTGCCACATTAATGGAGGTGATTAATGATTGTTATCTACCGTATATGATATTTCAATGCATTCATCAGTCCGCTGTATGCCCGTCGAGCAGCAATCTCCGCCATATCATTTACCTCGCCGCCTCCACGCACAACTTCTAATTCTTGAATCTTGATTTGTTCCTTCGCCGCAGAACATAACAACGGAAATAGCTTTAGATGAGACGGGTATTCATGTTCGCGTGCAATAGTTGGACGGATCATCATCACCGGTAATAGTTCTAGGTGCGTTATCCACAACATGTGCAGGTATAGATGAACAGATCTAGATCGAGCTCCAATTGCACATTGTAATTGGCCAGGGCCCTAGTAGGCCCAATTTGACGCATATCGCAGTGAAAAAAATGCCGACGGCATCAACTGCCACGGTAGAATTAGTGTAGTGCGTTTTGCATCCGAGTGACGCGTATACGCTTTGATGCTTTTTCGCATCCTTGTGATAAATAATTATATCCCATCGAGCGATGCAGGATAGCCTGAGAGGTGAATTATTCGTTTGGACTTTGCATCGCTTACTTGTTTGTCATATTCTGATTTTTTTTTGGATGCCGTGTGCTAATAGAACGCGACCATCCGAGTCTGCCGATGTTCTGACGCTCAGGCTTGTCGAAAACATTGCCGTCGATTGCACCTGAAAAAATATCGGGTTCACTTGTGTCCGAATCTTATTTTTGTATACACATCGATTTTTATGGTGTCCAAACATTGCCATTTTACGTGTGGACTGCTAGCAGCTGACGACTAACATCTGTGTTAATTCGATCAAGAGACTCTAGATCGAGTTATTTACGATGCGTCGTTGATCTGATGAACACGCAAATCGCTGGGTGATGTAACCCACCTTAATCTTGAGAAAAAGCTTACTTTGTTGTGTTGGACAGCGCAACCCACGACGTCATGAGGAGGACCACGCTATGTTCCATTCACAAGTACCCGAGGTCCAGGAAGGAGGTCAAGTAGTTTCATAGCGTTCGAATTTTGACAGGATCCTGGATTCGGTATCGGTCTACATGCAATCGATCAGTGGCCTTTCAATTGATAGTGTGCATCCTCGTGGAATGTTACTGCATGTCGTGCAGAGGGTGCGGCAATTCTTGCCCTCCGGATCCCTTGTTTTCGGGAAACGTTACGGCCGCCAAGTATAGTGGAGACTTGGTATGCCTTCCAGCGGCGTCAAGGCGCCTCAGAACTATGGTGACGGTTATATTTGCTGCCAGTATTCTTAGTCCGCGTAACCCACCACAACACACCAGAACAAAAAATACCACAACGACTACATGCCGTGATGCGAATTTTTCAATCAACTTGCCAGTGTGTCTATCAAGCCTATACACAGCAGGTAATCTTGTTTTGCATGTTACTTATTGGAGGATTTCTCAGCTAACTCGTGTCTAGTCATGGCGGCGTGTCCGCGGCTCTAACCAACCCTGTGTACTCGAGTACAAAACGCGGTGCTTACCATACTGCGCGGTCAATCTATTCCTGCATCGCGAGTAAAAATACACAACCCTTATAGAACAAGGGTGCCAGGGAAGCTCTGCCCTTCTCTAGTGTGTTTTGCGTGTTGATAGAGTACTCAACTGTATGCTTCTGACACCAGCTGTAAGCTGCGCCCTGCCTAGTGCATCCTGTGACTAATTGAAGGATCCATCATGATCATCAAGCTCAGCCCAATGGCGACAGTATTCACAGCCTCCCCTTGACGGGCTCCCAGCTCATTCATAAAAGAGACAAGAAGGTATGTGCGCGAAACCTGGATCTTTTACTTCTCGAGTGAATGCAGATGGAATATTTGATTCATGACATCGCAACGGCCAGGAATTTGCAATTCTTAGTTGTGCGTTCTTTCTTAATATGAAGGCAGGATATTAACGAACATGTGGTCACCAGTACATTTGCAGTTGGCAAGGTTAGAACGAGGGTAGAAGGAAAATCAAGTATGAACTGCTTCTTCGCCGTTCTAACCTGACGGTCCAGCGTCGACGGCGACATTCTGGGCGGACTTGTCCTGATCTATTCATGTCCGTTCTTATGTAGACCTATGATTTTGTTTGTTCACTTCACGAAGAGGTAATGCACTTGTTCCGTGATACGCCTTGTTTTGGATGTTGATGATATAGTGTTCGAAGTGGACATTCCTACTTCGATTGCGCTGGACAAAGGTCAAAGGCCTTTATATCATTGCACCATATGTCCCATTTGTCCTTATCATCGTGTGTCTATGTCGTACGTTCATTCCCAATACCGCACACCCCACGACAATAAATTGACGTGCTTTGCTTCAGTGGCCTTGGCCCCAAATGAGAACCCCAAGGTATGTGCAGTGGACTGTCACTGATGAGAACGCTTACTGTACGATTTCGCTATTAAATGCCAGATATTGGGCAATATTTTCACATGTACGCGCGCAGTCCATGCTGCATACATCATTACCGAGCGTTGCTCTTTCTTTTCACCTTGCACAGTTTTCAGATTGATATCGCTCACTTTCCCTGAATTTATCTCTCCTTACACCGCGACATAGATGGTCTCCTGATCAGATTCACCCAGGCTTTTATATTCTCAGAAACGTATGCACTCTAAAACAACAATATAATCGTACTTGTAGCCGTGCTCTCCGCCTTTTTTGTGAGTCACATGCGCACTCCGCACCCTAGCTCATGTTTGACGAACCAGTCAGGCCACTATCGTATTATGCATCGGCCTTTTGCTTGCCGCTGGTGCTACCTCTGAAGGTTTGTGCTCTCCCTTTCCACCGCCATTATACTATTCATTATATTCACTCCACTTTCGCAGTCGTGACTGGGATCCCAGAGACCCTAGGCTGCTCCCGGAGTTCATACGGTATCCGACTCTTCTTGCCTAGTGTTCTCATGTTTGTGTTTCAACTGGGTATGTGGTTGGGAACGGGGAGCATACATTGCAGACTCACACGCTGACTGACCCCTCTCCAGGACTAGTCTACCTCACGATCGTACGCGTTACACAGAGCTGACGGTCGGCCGAGGGCCCTCTGTACGCCATGCTGGTGAAGCATAACATATTAAACTATGTATGCGGTCTTACGTGTGTTTCTGTGCTCAAGAGCGATGATTACCGTTTCAGAAGTCTTCTCGGCCGTGAATGTTGTTTTGCCAATGCTGCTTTTAGATGTGCGTAAGCAGTACCCTTCGATATGGTGTAGTCATTGATGTTTTGCAGATGTATTCTGTATACTCCTCCCTTGCAGGGTATGCACGTCACAATTCTACTGTGAATTCCTACTGACAGTGTCTATATACAGTTTGTAGATCCTTATTCTTGCAATCCTTGCCACGCGCATGCACCTCTGCCTCTGGCATATGGAGTGGCACGTGGACGGCTCTGAGGCCCTCGTGCATTTCTGTGTCCGACATGCCACATGTAGGCTGTACGGTGTGACCCGTGGCTTATTCGGCGTCGTTTGTGGAGTGGAACTTGATCTACGAGATGACCAGTCAGGAAATCGGGACGTGCTCGTATAACTCCCTCGTAGGAATCCATTTTTGTCATAGGAGTAAGACGCATTGAGATATAAACTCACGAGCAGGCCAATCGAGGACAACGTGAACGATCATGATCATGATCATGACGACGACGACAAGAAGCACCAGGATTTCAGTAATCGTATATGCATGCAAACTACACAGGCAGTTGTGAGGTAAATTCATCTTCCACAAAGGTATCAAACAAACAACGTATCACTGTTGAATATACACGAGTGTTATAAATGATGTCGAACAGCGAGGATTTCGCCACAGAGCCTCTTCGTAGTAAGGAAAACTAGAGAATGAGATAGAACTAAATACGTGCCAGCGAGAACATCGGAGCTGCCATGCACAAATATTTGACGCAGGCTTCTGACGACCGTTGCACATAGCCAACACCAAGATGTTACAGTCTTTATCGTGTCCAGTGTTTTCAAACCCAATGTTACATCCCATCGTTACGGTCAACTGCCTGACTATCAATTAAACTCCTCATTGACAGCTCTGCTTCGCCAGACGTGGTGCTCGCAAAACAAACGTCTATCATGCCTGCGCGACGTAAGTTAGCCTCCGTCGGATGTTCCACATTTTGCAAAGCTTCTTGGACAGATGGTGAATGATAACCCAACCATAAGAGTTGCAGTGCGCCTGCATTTGAGATGGGAGCCTGACTGTCGCGGGATGCATGAAATGCTCTTGTCGTGTGTAGAGCCAATCCCAACATGATCACCGACGCAGAGGTCGCAAATAGCAACTAGAATCAACTTCGACAAACTATCATTGCGTAGATAGTGTCGCGAACTCACAGGAAGAAGGGTGATCTACAACATGTGTGTATCAGTCAAATGGAAAGAGGTTCTGTGCAGTTAATACTTACATTCAGGCGTAAGGCAATCACCTCCTCGTAGGCAAGGGCCATCCCCTCGCCAGGTTGAATTCCTCCATTCATTCGCCCCGCTGAGTTGGTGACACAGTGTGAGTAATAACAGACCCATGCATACTAGTATGATCTCTTACCCATCCAAGTGAGTTGCGCAACTGTCTGCGCAATAGCAGCTTCTAGTATATCCGGGCTCAGAGTGAAATTAGAAACGGGAGGTTGGTCCCAGTCGGTGGACGATTGGAGATATTGAGCTGAGAGATTCAATCCTACCAATGACATTATAGACCTAGAATAAAAGGCCATAGGTAAGGCATTGTAGTAGCATGATAGTGAAAGCAAGGTCCGAACTCATCCACAATTGAGGGTTCGCTAGTATATCCAGATTGATCTATAAATTGATACCCGCTACCACCTGCAACAGACAAAAGGTAACCAACCTAGTGTAGACAACGGATTATTGAACTTCGGCAACCACTAGAAACGAGTGGTGTTTAACGCACATTTTCTGACCAGTCGGTAGATGTCCACTGAAGCGTTTCCTCCCATTGCGTGGATGGCTGCGGGACAGGCATAGGATTCTCTAGAGTGTTGGTTTGCATGTCGATCACCACTGCGGTGTTGTTCGTTGACAGTGAGCATTGCATGAAATAGACTTCAATGGTTTGGTTCACAGCTGCAGAAATGTTTGTTATGGTGATTACATTCCAAAAGGCAAACGCACCTGGACATACCCAAATCGTCGGTACCGCAACCTCCTTTTGTACTGAAGGCTCGATCTCCAACAAGGTAGAGACCATTAACAAGACAGCAGGCTGTGCGTAAATTTGGGACTAATGTGGGACAGCCGCCGATCAGCTCCAGGGTAAGCACTAAAAACCTTGACACAAACCATATTGACCGACGGACTGCCCCCATATTGAAGTACTCGTATCTGGTCTGCCCCTGTGGGTATTTTTAAATATGATGGAATAACATTTCACACTATGTTCACGTACAGGGGGAAGACGCAGTCATGACCATAACATTTCCACTGCCAAGCGGAGCGGTTGCTGTGTTGTTATTTCGAGAGTATGTGACATTTGGAAGTAATCCGCAACTCGAAGTTATCGTCGTTGCATTCACAGTTGCACGTCCGACTACAGAGCTCGTTTGCAGGGTGTCGTAGACTGTATTATTGGATATCCCTGCAGAGACAAGTCCAGGAAATCGACTGATGGCCGGTAAAGATCCAGTGATAGCTACCGGGTTTTCGGTAGTACTTGATACATCCACCCATCCTAGTGTTGTTGAAACATTAGTTGTAATAGAAGAATTGAATGTTTGAAATTGTAGGAGAGTGGAAGAGGTGACATGCAGCACGGAAATGCATACAAGGTAGGTTGTCACAGCAGTGGTTGCCGACAATGATGCAGATATATGAGTTTGTTTCCAGACACTACTGAGTGCGGAACCAAGGCCTGCCCATGCGCTGGAGATGTCGTGTATGGTAGTTAATTTCAGACGGCGTACAAGCGCCCTTGACATCGCAAGCCGTTGGGTAAGGAAGACCAGAACAGCTGTGTAGAGCTAGACAAAGCCTGTCATTGGTGTACTGGTAAGGAATCAGCGGACACACTGTGTAAAATGCTTGTAGTGAAGCACTCAGCACCACGGGCCAAAAATCAGCGTTCGTGGGCGTGAACGAGAGAGTCACATTGTGTTCCCAGCGATATATATAAGACACAATGAGCATGACATGTATCATGACCAGCATGCCGTGCAACACGTAACATGTGCATGCAGAGAACGATCCGCTTTCATTTTCTGAGGGATTTTTCGGGCGAGTCATCCGGGACGCTGTGACAGTGAAATCATGATGTAGTCGGTATTGGCATACAGTAGCAATAGCTAACATACCGAACCAAGTCCCTGGTAGCTGCACGATGGGATGCTCGCTGTTCGGAGCTGAGGCCTGATGAAAACGACTAGTTTTAGAAGGGAAGAGGTGCCACGCACCGACGTATCTGCGACGAAAGTGAACGAACGAAGCAAGGTAGAAACGTGTTCATGATACCCTGTTATCATTCGGTTCCTTCTCGGTTCCTTCAAATATCTCGAAAAGAGCCAAGCTTCACTGACGGCAACCTTGTTCCACAAGCGTTCAAGGTACAGGTTCCGGGAGATGATGCCATCAGTGAATTCCTGAGTCCATGATATGGGTAGTCATGAGACCTATATACCGATACAATTATGTATTCCAGAAGAAATTAGTGTTGTTCATAAATGACCGGTATTTGTGCACCTCGTCGTAATCTGCGTGTGTTTTGAGTTTCGTCTTGAGAGCGTCTACTTCTGCGCGAGCAGCACCTGCTTTGCGAGCCTATCACTAGAATGTTTATTGCTCTTGTTAATCATGCATCGCCGGACTCGAAACAACACACACCTTCTCTGAAATCCGCTCCTCTGATCCATCAGGAAAACCCTCCGATAGAAACCTAGGCTACTAAGTATGTCAAGTTCAACAAAATTATCTCATTCATTATAATTTGACACAAGTAGACAGCTTACATGATTTGATGCCAAGCAGTCATTTCAAGACCGTGATAATCCCTATGGAACCCAGGCTGGTATCCGGTTGGAAATCAATCCAAAAGACCGTTTCGCCTATGTTGCCGTCCGGACATCTGCGGAGGGGGTGATGGTACGCCGCGTCGAAGTCATCGTCTGATGGGTGTAAACGTGAGAATGCTTTCCAACTTGAAATTGAGTGGCTGAGTCTGTAATACACGCTGGTGTATGAAGCATTTATTCGTACTATAAGAGACTCTAGAGAGAGGTGGCGGGCATAAAGTGGGAAGAAACTTCCAGACATAGAATGTCATGTGGCACTCAAAACAGGGAGGCAAGCCCATGCTGAGATATTTGAGACAAATGTACTAGCTACGAGACCCGCGGGAAGAATGAATCATACTTACCGAGAAATATAACACCAGTGGCAATGATATTGGTGGGCATTCGTAACAACTGGATGGATTCAAATGTTCCAAACATCCATGTGCTCCGGGAAGGTTTTAAGAGTCAAACCCCGCCCAGGTTCGGACCAACGACTGTCTGCTAGACCTCCAGCCTCCCTCACTTGAGGCTATAGTTACGCGCGCGGTAATCTTGACGTCACCAAGTACTGACGTCGGGGCGTGAGATCGGGTGACTTGGATCATGTTCTAACGCCATCAATGACCGTCGTCGGTGGAGATACACAGCAGAGGAATAGCACAGCACGAGCTCACCATATGGATTCTTAATGCGTTTCGCCTTGTTGCTAGCTTGTTCCGGCCGCCGAGCAGTAGACAGTACCTGTGGAGAAAATCGAAATACCAATGATTGAGAACATGTCTCCAAAAAAGATGCACCTTCTCGTCATCTAGTGCAAGAAATGCGACGAGAGGAAGTACTAGGTCCTGGACATTGCTGGAGTTCGATTGGTACATCGGCATTTGGTTGAGCGCGACGAAAGAGTTGAGGAATGCAAGCGAGGAGCCCACGTTACAGTGACCCCCAGGATAGTGCAAAAGCACGGCAGTGGCGATGTAGAGGGGGATCAGGATGCAAACGATGGGTAGTGGAGGACTGTAAACATAGAAATCAGCACAAGTACTATGTGTAAAATGAGATGAGGGTAACGCAGAAGACCACGGTCTTGCACGTTATCAAAAAGTCTAGCGGCACTTGACGGGGGGCGGACGTTGCCTAGAATCACAATGTCACAATCAATGTCAAGATCAAAGGCACGACATATGCCTTAATGTAACAACTTGCGCAAGTGGAATATTAACGTGTTTTATTCTTGAAAAACCATGAGATGATATATACATACCTTCTTTTTTGAGTTCAGATGTTTGTGCCTAACAGCCATTGGGAACGAAATAACGAGTGGGAGTCAAGTTGGTACTCACATCAGGTATGGGCAGGAAGTATTCTAGGCCAACTGTTTTGAAAATGGCTTGAACGTCCTAGACGTACGCGTTTTGATGCATCACGAGCTGTGGATAGAAGCTTTCCATCAGCGGAGAAGGCCGCATACTAGACGTCCTTTTCGTGTTGTTTGAAACTTGGAGGTTTGTGTCAACATTCTAGAGACACGCTGCATCATCCCAAGATGTGTTCGCACTTAAGATTCAGGCCTGTCAGGAGTCGGTCGTTCGGAATTAAAATGGTGGATGTTCAAGGGTGCCATGTGGCAGTGTTGAACTTCTGTCCCGTCTTGATCGGAAAGTTCGGACCCTGAACGGGTTCGGTGACCGCTCTTCACATCCCACACTGTTACTACACTATCCAAGCCTCCACCCACAACTCACTCACAATCTGTACTCCAGCATACTGTCCTCACAGTGTTCCCCTTCCATTTGTCAATGACATTCCTGGTCTCAATGTCCCACAACCTCCGAACTGTCCGGTCCTTGCAATAGTTTGGCCGCTTGAAGACAATGACATCCACCCTACTCCTATCCCGTTCTCCCCATTTCGCCAGTCATCACCCATCTGTGCAGCACTCTATTGGTCCAAAAGTCGAAGTGGGCCGTCATATGAACATGTGATGATGCGCTGCCCCGCGGCAGGTGTGCGACACCGGGTACGTAGTTTGTATGGCCTTGCGGGGGTTAATTCTGACATATTTTCATCTTAGCATGCGGAGAAAACATAGTGGACGTTTGGGATCTCAATCAAGGAAATCGTTGACTGTGTCGCTCACCAGTCGCTCACCATCTAGACTCCAGCATATTACCTTCACAAATTCAGAGTGCCCTTTCCACTTGACGACAACCTTCCTCGTCTCAATGTCCCACATTGCTTGAAGCTATGGCTACACACGCGTGAATTTTGACGTCACAAGTCGCGACTTGATCGACAACTTGAATTTGAATTTGAACACGTGAAATCAAGTGACTTGGGTATGGCCCCTGTTCTCCTCCTATATAGTCAACCCATCAGACCCCTCCTTCAGTACACATATGTCTTATCCGACATCAGTGACTGTTGTTCCGACCACGACATCGCCAACCACATCAGCATCCCCGATTACTATTTCCACTTCTTCGATATCTTCCGTGAGCAGCAGCAATGCCGCAACATCAACTACCCCTGCAATGAGTAGAACAACTCCGATTGCAACCTCCATGACACCCGTGGCAACTACATTACCCACTACGATTACGTTGGTCCTGTTTTATCTCGATTTTTATACAGTCGTTCACCTGATCTACCAGATCAAAACCTCCCTACGGATCAACAGCCGTCGTCACCACAGAGATATCCGCAACCACCTCTGTTGCTGTTCCCACACCATCTCCTGTAAACAACTCATCAAACACCGGCGCAATCGTAGGTGGCGCCATCGGTGGTGTCGTCGTCATAATCGTCCTCCTTGGGCTTTTCCTCTTCTGCCTACGCAGGCGCAGAAGGCGAAATGAATCTGACGGGAACCTGAACCCCGATCATATCGTTTCCCATTCCTCAGGTGGCAGAACCCAGCCCCAGATCGACCTGGGGGAAGAAAACGAGAGCACCCCCTTACCTTACCCTGAACATGATAGGAGCATGCGTCAATATGGAGAACCGTTCCTACCTGCGGGTGCCGCCCCTGCAGGTATCCACCGCACAACATCCCCACTCGGCTCTCCCTCGCAATACAGCGACACTGCCACCTCCCCCGGCGAGGGGTACCCCTCTCAGGGCTTCGTACGCCCAGACTTGGGCCAGTATCCCCAAGGAGGGCCGAACACATACGCAATGCAGCAAGCAGACTGGCACACCACGCGCCCACTCACAACACCTGCTCCAAGAGTCGGCAATGCATCTGCATCTTCTTCCGGTCGCGGGATGAAAGAGCGAGAAACCGCTGCTACAGCTGGCCGCCAGGGGCTCGTCCTACCTACGCAGCTAGAAGTTGACAGTGAGGGGTCTGGCGCTGTTCAGCACCAGGATGCGGGACAGGAAGGAGAACCGAGAGATGTTCCGCCTGCATATGAGTCTATAGGGCAGTAGACTCGTCGCATGCATGCATGCAGGGATCCAATGAAAATTATCCAGCTGTCACGATTGTGTCCAGAGTGATAGCCACGAAACTCAACCATAAGAGATGTTCAAAGCGTTCACCGCCGGATAAATGTGAGAATGGACTCTTAGGCGACGGCGAAGCAGCTGTCCCTACCATGAGAGAGGGGTAACTGAGTGCAAACAGAAAAGAGAGCTTCAAGATATAGCAAGTCGTGTGATGAGCGCCCCATGAGAGGGAGGGAAGTTCACGCCAAGATCACTGATGCCACTTCACAGTTGTGTCATTCAGACGTTAGCCCGCGTGCTTTGAAGAATCGCATGACGATTGACTCCAAATCAAAACGCCGAGAACACAGATACCAGCACCATCAATCGAACGTCTTTTTTGATGTCACCAAACAAAACCTGGGCTAGAAAGGGATGAGAACGTGCGTAGGAAGAGTGAATCATGTACACCTACCGAGACATGACACCAGTGACAATATGAATGATATTTGTGAGCATTTACTTGCATAACACTTCGACCGAGTGGTGGATCGGGCTTGTCCAAGCAGTGTTTTTAGAAGACGCCTTCAACATTGATGCATACATTGACACAACGCTGTGTGAAATCACCGAGATGGATGGTACCTTGGACAATCGACTTACCTTGGGCTCTGTCAATCCTTCCGATGACAAAAATCGCTAGATTTAAACATGTGATGGATTAAGATGTTGAATGTGGAGGACAGAAGGTTACCAGTTGGCAGCTGGCGTTTGCACGACCACGTTACGGTTGCTAGCGGATTGATGATGAGTTGGAGAAGGAGCAGGGTAATGTGATAAGCCACGATAGGTATTGAAAACGGCTGACTTACCGTGATGAACCTTCCAACTGGAGTAGGCACTGGCAGAACGTCATGTAGGTCCTAAGTCAGTTCAGAACATCATCGGTTCAGCTAGCCTGTGTTGCCCATTTGGTAAGTATTATGAGAGGGCTGAGAAATTGTGTGCTTTGCATACTTAGCTTGATGATAATGGGCTCCCTCGTGCGGCTGCTGTGTAAGGTGCGGACGTATGGCTGGTGTCAATTGTTTGGGAATAGTACTTTTCCCAATGAATGACACCAGCCCTACGACCGTGTTATGTGCATGATCTTGACATTACAATCATATACAGTCGTTCAAACGTTCGTTCATGCGCACGTCATGATCAATACAAGATAAGTATCAATGAGTGAATGTTTCAAACTCCGTCCGCGTTATACCTAAGTCTACATTGCAACGTCATCCAGATGCTACAGGAATTGAATCAAACGCAGCACAAGGCTTACCCCCTCATTTTCTTCCACTCCTTCTGTTGTTCTGCCAACACCAAGGTGAACCACTTCAGCAATCCCGGTTAAATTAATAATCGATTCCCTCCTCGGCAGCAATATTTGCGCAAACATCAAACACCCGGTACGATCCAACAACTTCCATGACGCCCGTGGCAACTACAGTACCAACTACGATATAATATTGGTAATCTTTTATCAAGTACTATTCGTCTACACTATTCACCCGATCTGCCAGCTCATTAATTCCAAACCGATCAACATAATCCCTGTCCCCCTCCCACTCCCGTAAACGACTCAATAGGTGGCATCGTTGGCAGTATTACTACAATCTCCTTCCATTGGCTCCTCTTCTACCTACGCTGTCACAGAAGACGAGATGAATTTAACAGAAACTTTGACCCTGATCGTGTCGTAGCTCATCCCTAGGGTGGCACACTGCCCTGGATCGACCTTGGAGAAGAAAACGAGGTCACCCCTTACCTTACCCTGACCGTGGTGGGAGCATGCGCCAATCTGGCACCACCTCCATATCCTGGTGGACGAATCTGCTTTCTCATTTACGATCGCAGCGATTCCGTTTACTGCTATTGTTCTACGTAACGACCAAAACTTCGGACTGCATTAGGGCATGATGACGATGGCCACAATAAGATATGTGACATCCCCGAGCTCTGCCCTCTGAGAGACTCTGCAACACACCAATATGATTGCACGGGTGCCCCATATGTAGACCAGCTTCGTGTTGCGCCCATGATGGAAGAAAGTGAGGCCTTGAACCTTGATAGACTAATCATGACGATCTCTTGCGTACATAACGCGCTTGTAATAGTTGTTGATTCTCACTAATAAAGTCACGTCCCCATTCACCACTTGCAAAATAACATGATCCTCTAGTGGACAGCCACGCCTCAAATACGGACCCATCCTGTCATTATCGGCGTCAGTACCGGATAATTGCAATAAGAACCAGCAAGTCGACTGACGCAAGCGTCCAGTCGGACCGGTGTGTCGAAGACCGAATCAAGGACAACTTCGAGCGCCTTTCGTGCAGGAACTTTTTGATCACAACTAGCGGCTCTACTTGGTGTGTACCATTCAATCTTGATACCGCTGATCCGACGTTACAAGTAACCAGTTTGTAGATATTCATGGAATATTCGGCTGACGAGATCGCAGCGGCCAGGGGTCTACAGTACTTAGCGGTGCGTCGCTTTCTGGACACGATGGCAAGGCAATAACAGACATCATGGGTCACTAGTACATATGCAGTGCGTACTGTTTGAATTACTTGTTCCGCGTTTTAACGTGACGGCTCAGCGTCATTGGCAACATTTTGGGTAAGCTTGTTCCGGTCTATCCCGTCCGCCGTTAAACTCGCTTATATCCAGGCCTATGATTATGTTTGTTCATTTCACGAAGAGGTGATGTACTCGTGCTGTAATATCCCTTTATTCAAATATTGATGACATGCTATTCAAAGTGGAATTTTATGTGTCGATCGCGCTGGACTGAGGTGAAAGTCCTTTATATCATCGCACGATATGTCCCCTTTTTATTGGTCATCACGGACATATATCGTGCGCTCAATCCCAGTATACATCCCCCTATATTTATTTGACAGGTTATGTTTCAGTGCATTTCTCCCCGAACGAGAACACCAACGTATGTGAATATGCAGCGGAATTGCTTACCTGCCGATGAGTGACGCTGACTGCATGACATTGCCAGAAATGCAAGATACTGGTCAATATTTACTTCGGTACGTGCACAGTACATGCTACATGCATATTCTTGCCGAGCACTGCTCTTTCCTCTTACAGGTTGCGGAGTGATATCACTCACTTGCTCCGAATGTATCTCTCCTTCCTCTGCGACATACACGTGCTTCTGATCCGATTCCTCCAGGCTTTTTTGTGCTCAGGACATATGTGCTTTGGAACAGCAATAGGATTGTACTTGTAACCATGCTGTCCACCCTCTTTGTGAGTCCCATGCCCTCAAAATATCTGATCCCATGGTTGATGAATCAGTCAGGCTACTATCGTATCGTTCATCGGCATTTGTTTTAGCGCTATTGCTACCTCTCGCGGTTTGTGCTCTCACCTTTCCCCACTTACTATTCGCACGTATTAACTCCACCTCACAGTTACGACTAGCGTGGTCCCAGGCATCACAGGCTGCTACCGGAACTCAACCACTGTCGAATTTTTCATGCCGTTTCTTCTGTTACTTGTCTTTCAACTTGGTATGGCGCCGGGAACTTCGACCATACATTACAGAGACGCAATGACTGACGCTCTCCTCAGGACTGGTCACTTTAACACTCACACGAGTCTTCCAGACCTGGAGAATGTCCAATGGCGGTATGCACGCAATTCTGGTGAAGCATAACATATTCTATTATGCATGCGGTCTATGTGAGTCAGCACTTCCATATCTTTATGTCCTCATCGATGATGATGATTATCTCGAAAGTTCTCTCGGTCATGAATGTCCTTGCACCAGTAATGTTTTCTGATGTGCGTAAATGTCCCTATACCCTTCAGTGAGATCGAGTCACTGACGTTCTGCACACCCAGCCTGCATATTACGTCCTCCTCGGAGAGTACGCGTCTTCAACTTTTGCTGTGAATTTCTACTGATAAAACCCCTACATACATATACAGGTCGCAAGTCTATATCCTTGCGATCCTCGCCACGCGCATGCACCTCCATCTCTGGCATATCGGCCAGCACGCCGTGTACGACCCTGAGGACCTTGTGTATATTTCTATGCCCGACATGTCATCTGCAGACCGTACGGTCACTACTGTGTGACGTTTAATCGTATGGCTCACTCATGGAGCGAGATTTAGACTACGAAATGACTGGTCGTGGGTATCTTGGTGTTATGAGTACCTTTCCGTTTTGAATCTTGATATCGCAGAGCCAACGCTACGCAAACTGTTTGTAGACATTCATGATCAATGATGAAAACTGCCGCCCGTTGCAACATGTTCTAGAATTCCGCCCTACCACGCTCACCTCATCCACGAACTCACTTTTTGTGGATCTCTTTTCCTGCAGAACAAGCCCAGGAAAGTTGGGTTCGCACATTTAGATGAAAGGGGCTCTTGGGGCTCGTATACTTCTCAGGCATCCGGCGCAAAATGGCGTTTCGTATATCATCTTCAATGTGCTATTTTTATGTTTATAAATCTGATCATGCCTCCTGGAATATTCTCCCCCACCCTTTGATCGCTTTAGTATCTACCCCACACTGCCTCAACATATCCCAAGTAACCGTAGTAACAGTATCCAACACTGGAACGCCATACTTTGCCTCCCAAAGCTCGACCTTATGCGCCGCTATCAGATTCGTGCAAAACGTCGAAACAGCCTCTGCGCCCCCCTCAACCACTTGCCCTACCAACTTCTCCAATACATCCTCACCAATCAGGGTAACGTCAGTGTTCTTCGCAACGCGCAGATGGCGTTCCGTTTCCGAGGTGACCTCCACCCCAATAGCGTTGTAGTTCTTCACAATCCTCTCCTGAACCTCATCCAGATAAGGCGTGACCAGTCCAAGCTTCTTGACCTTGAAGATATCCAAAGCCTTGTTCAAAGCCAAGACGGAGGTAGTGGCGGGTATACCGGTAGCTTTGGTAATAGCTTCACAGAGTTTTTCGTCGCTCTCGAATCCCATCCATCCTGCTGCTGTTCCGCTCCAGCCTATCATATCAACTTCGGCATGGGCAAGCAGTTGAGCGGCTTGCATGATGACTGATTGGTCAAACTGGGCGAGACCTTTGGCTGAGAGACTGATCCCCGTGACTGGGAAACGGGAGAAGTGAACGGAGACATTTGGAATGGAGGAAACGATCTGGAAAGTGAGAGGTTCCAACGCAGTATTTGAGGAAGGCGTGAGAATGCCGAGACGGATTTGTTTTGACATGGCTAAAATGCTGGGGGCAGATTCACGGTGTACAGAAGTCCAACTTGTTGTGAAGAAAGACGGACGAATGGCGACGTATGTGAGCTTGCAAGACTGATATAAGCTAACATGCGAGATTTAATAAATGGAAGATCATCCCCGACGGGCGTCCGAGTCATGACCTGCTGATCCAAGCTGATTTAGGTCTCATCGCCAAGACCCACTGGTCAGATATTCCTGTCTTTCCGGCCGTGCAATCGTTATCTCTTGGGTCGCCTGACTTTCGGACGATAAAGGCTGCTATGTGGAGTATAGTATGATGATAAATTAACTCACTCGTTCAGGTATTGACAACATCACTCACCTTTGCCCCCCCCCTCGAACGAGGGGGCCCACGTATTAGAATACATAACTAGTGGAATCAAGGGGTGATTTGTAGTGATTCGGTTTCAAGAGCGTTAATGTGTCAAAGTGTGGGGTGATCATAGTGCAACAGCAAGAAGACGCTTCCGTGGTTACATGGTAAAATAGACGCAAGCTATACTCGTTGTTGAAGGTGATGGTGGTCCAGATTCGACCTCGTGACTGACCAGTATCTCTTTACTGGGAGCTAGAGGCGACTGACCGCAATCGGGGATTATTTTGTGTATTTTGTATGCTTTGACTGGTGTGTATAGTACTCAAGTTTGGACGGTTCATTAGATACCTCTGCATTGTGGGGAGGAGCGTTCGTAGGAGCAGCTATATGCATAGATATTCGGGGTCGAAATAATGCATCCTCAGTATGGTAGGATGTATGAAGGTGGGAGTTATGGCTTCGTTCTGGTTCAATGGAGAACTCGAAGGTCAGTCAAACTCAATGTCAGGGCATAAAAATGAGAATCATATGAGGTGGTCTCGTGTCGCAAGACATCCACAATTCAGTACTACTGTAGAGATACGCACCTAACTTCGACATGATTTGGGTGTGACCAACTGAACATTAGCTTCGATACTTCGAAGGCGGGTGTGACCTGTGACATCTGACAAATAGCTTCGAAGCACCACTACCAGCCGCTGTCAGTGCCTGCAGCAACAGGCTCTCGATTGGTCAATGCAAACAGTGATCCTCAGGTTTGCGCTCACCATGGGGCACTTTGTATCTACCCATCTGTCAGGCTTCTCTATATATGTATACAATGTCATATCAACATGGATCCTCCAATGTTCGGTAAGGCATCACTTCAGCTCTTGGATGGTGAACTCTGAAACAATCCTGGACAATCATGGCACTGATGACATTGAGAGTGGTCGTGGAAAACGCAGACGCACTGCAAATACTCGTTACAACGATTTTTGGCAACATTGATAGTGTTCTACGCATTTTTTTTGTATTTTGACAATATGTCACAAATTAACTTCGACGACCTTGAATTTGTGTGACAGTCACTCGAAATAGCTTCGATTCGTTGGGCCTGTGACGGTGTGACGAAGTTAGGTGCGTATCTCTACAGTAGTTCTGAATATTGAATGACAGTCCCAGTCCTCCTCAGACTGCTCCAAGTGCCGCCCGGTATTCAGGCCTGTATATATTCTTGTATCCTGAATCCTGATGTGCCCGCCAGACTTGTTGATATTTTGAGTGTCATCGATGTGTTGAAGTCCAAAAGCCCAAACTTATGTAAGTTGAGATGACCTCATCCGGGCATCGTGAAAATATTCATCTCGTACGCCTATCGCCTACCTGACTTGTTCTATAACGTGCACTTCCTTCCCTTGATTATAGCATTACTTGCTCATCCAGTACATTTGAATCTGATTGGCGTGTTATCCCTATGATATTCATTTTAACAGCATTCTTGAATGTCTGTCAGGGATATCCAAGTCCTCGCTCACGTGGTCCTCAACATCATCATATACATCCATTTCTTTCAACAACTTCTGAAAAGGATGTTGATACTGAGACATCTCCCTCATTCTCGAAGGCGGCCTGGCACGCCCTTTTCGATGCCTTTCCCTCGTAGCCAGATCCAGGTATCCACGCCTCCTCAGCGCTCAGCGCATCGATAAGGCGACTTGTTCACGGCACTTCCCCAACGCCTTCTACTTAGCTTATCCTCGATCTGCGTCGCTTGACATCATTCTACAGTGACTATCCCATTGACTAGGATCAAGCACTTTTGACGGTCACGATGTCTGGTGCGGCTACGGAGCCACTCGAATCTCATCATGTGCGAATCACCTGTGCGTATTCTCTGATCTCTTTGCAGAAGGAATTCATCCTTCATAGGACAATTAATCTCGCTGGTGTCTCCAACGGCCTTTAATGTGCACTGGCACAGAAACAAGTAGCTAAGTATTGAAATATTCAGTTCATCCGTTCATCGTTACGCGGGCTACCTTAAGCATGATCGGGAGAGAAGATCTGTTCCCAAATTACCCGCGGACACCACCATTCCTGGAATTTTGATGTTCACCGGCGGATTTGTGCAAGTCTTTGATGGTCCAACGTCCAGGCATCCGTCCTTCACGCTATTTCTCTTCCAGATTATCCATTTCCTTGCGAGCACTAGCCCCCGAAAATTATTCTGATTCGGGAACTACCTATGAGAGGTAAAGTTTCTGTGGGGTCCGCCTGGCGCCATCAGGATATGCGTTGTACTGATGGTACTTAACACTTTCGAGCAGAGATAATAGAGAACTGGTGGTGAGGGTTGAGCGCTGCAGGACTCAAGTGCGTGGAAGAAGCGACAGTGAGGATAGAGACTACTTGTAGCATCCCCCCAAATAAAAGGAAGACAGTTGTTCATTCTAAAATTTAACGCTTGAAGCTTGAAGCTGAAGGATCGATGGTATGACTGGAAGGCGCGAGTCGGCTCGACTGGCCTGGCTCATGCTAGTATCTAAGTACTCAAGCAGAAGACGAGGCTGCAAACGAATCGAGTACACAAGAACTTCAGTGAACAATCTAGTCGACAAAAACTATACAAAAGTAAGGTACTGAGCTGGAGCTCAAGAATATATCAAGGTCATTTTACAACAGTCGGATGAAAGGAGATCGCAAATCAACAACACCAGATGACAGCAATACGACGTAAAACTAAGAACTACACACCAATGTGAATAAAAACCATCCTCTGCTCGAGTGGAACCTTCGTCTTCACGGCATGTGTAGCACAGTTGAGCGCCCAGGCCGCCTTTGTACAGTCCATGACACCGTCCTCTTTCATATCGAACATATATTTGTAGAAAGCTTCAACGACGTGTTTTGCGACAGAATCGTCGACCTCCCACAGCGTGCCAATGACGCTCTTGAACCCTGAAAACTGCAGACCAGCTGCAAGGTGAATCACTTCGTCGGGTGTCTCCTCATCTCCGACGGCGGTGTGACAAGCAGATAAGAACGCGAACTCAGCGTGCGGAATGTCTCTGTCCATGATATCGAGCAGTGTCAGATGTGCATCTCTCATGACGAAATGCGAATCATAAGGTTGTGTACAGTCCTGCTTGCCATGACACGCCAGGTGCACCCAGGTGTTGTGCTGCAAAGCTTCGAGTGCGCCTGCTCGTGTGGCTGCGTCACCAGAAATAGTAGTACGGTTGGCAGTCGCGGGGACGAGTTTATGAACGATCTCGAGCTCGCTGTCAACAGCCAAGAGTGCCTTGCCATTCCCTGCACCCGGTTGACCTTGCCCGATCGCCACAAAGGACGGAGGCACACACTTCTTCATCAACTGTCTAGATCTGACCAGAGCCGAAAGTGTCGGCGTGTAAGAGCAGATGTAGAGATCTTCCAGGCATGGCTCCTTAGAGCGATCTGCCTTTGTTTGAAAGGGGTTGGCTGCGTGGAGAGGAATGGACGTGAAAGCTGCAGTTGGACACAGCCAGATTCGAGAGCGGCGTTTTAGTTTGAGGACGAGCTCGAGTACGTTGACGATGGGTAGCATGATCTCCTCCCATATTATCCGCGAGAGCACTATGAGATCCGTCCTCGACTCCGTTGGGTTCATCCGAGATGCTTGTCGTATTGCCCTGGCGAAACGATCCTTGAGATTGGTTAGATCTACGAGAGTAACGGATGGTAAGGGAACATGATGGGGGTCTCCTGATGTTGGGACGATGATGGCGCTGCACGAGTATTGGCTCGCAATGAGGATGATGACTTGGCCCTGGCGCGCTGCCGCTTGCAGGTCTTTATAGGAAGGTGGGAGCAGGAACCGCGAGAACGGGCGAAGATCACGTATCTCAGCCACCGCAGCTTCCCATTGCCTTGTGAGTCTCCTATACTCTGTCGCTGCCCGGTCGGCAGCAACTCTGTCCGTGCTGGCCGCAGAACCCTGAGCATCAGATAGGTGTTTGCTAAGATGTAATAACTTGCGAGCCAGTTCGGGACTCATAGACTCGAGATCTTCGAGTGGCGTCCTGAGCCGCGATGCCAGCGACCACTGCTGGCCACGACCCTGCTCCATCAGCTCAACTGCCCGTTGTAGATTTTCACGACGTATGGCACACGAGGCTGCATCTACAGGAAGCGATCCTGCACCACGAAAAGCGGTTGCAGCCTCACGCCGCGAGATGATCGACGATCGCGTCATCACGTGGCTGTCGAAAAGCTCAAAGCACATTTGGTATGCGTCGAGGGCAGATTCATGTTGATATATTTCGGCTTGGAGAGCCCAGTCAATAGCTACGAGGATACGTTGAGGCAAGCCTCCAGTAGGGTGTATCGACGACTGTCTGAAGTGCTCCATTGCAGATGACAAATCGATGGGTTTGTGTTGTATGCGGTAACGGGATAGATGAGCCCTCTGTAGCCATGCATAACTCACGCATTTAGCTGGGTGCAGTGAAGACAGAGCCGCCAATGACTCTTGGCAAAGAGTAATGGCCTCCTCGACATCTTCATTCTCCTGAGTTTGCGTGAAACGAGAGGAGAGCGCCGAGCTCAAATTCAAAAGAGTCGCATGGCGCTCTGGATCGTCAAGCCGCTGTAACTGAAAGGATTCTCGATACCGATCAATGGCCTCGTTAAGATCCTCAATGACATACAATCCGTCATATCTGGCTTGGAGGGCATGAGCAAGGTTGTTAAGTGTGATGTCACGACTTGGATGCCCAGGTGGGTGCAATGTCAGTGCCTCGCGATAGAGGCTGACAGCTCGGGTGATGTCATACAAGTCGCCACGTTTTTTGAAACGGGCGATGAGGGCGAGCCCTAGGTTGTCCAATGAGGCATCACGATATTTGTGCCCAACAGGGCGCAGGCGCAGCGCTTCTTCGTGCAAGAAGATGGCCTCATCGAGGTCATTAGGTTTGCCTTGGTGATCGAAGCGTAACTGGAGTGAGAAGGCCAAGTTGTTCAGGTATATATCACAGTCAGAATGTCCCTCGGGGCACAGAGACACGGCTTCACGACCGAGTTGTATGCTCGTGTCAAGATCGTCGATGCTGCCGTGCTGCTCAAAGCGTGCCCTGAGAGCCCATGAAAGTTTGTCAAGTGCTCTTGGACGGAGTTGATGGCCTATAGGACACAGCTCGAGGACGACTTGTCGAAGGTGGATGCCTTCATCAGATGCGTCTATTGGAAGACTGATGCATCCGTTAATCACATAATCGACACAATCTTCCCCTGCCACGATGCTACGAATGTAGGTGCCCTCTGTCCAGAGAGGTAGTAGCTCATGACAGATTTGGGCAGCTTCGCGGATGTCGGCAGCAATATTTTTCTTCTTGTGGCGCCAATTCAGAGCTTCGGCGAGATTGTATAGAGATAAGGGACGATCGGGATGGTGCCGCGGACGCAATGCAAGGGCGTCGTGGAAGAGAGAAATGGTGGTATCAATGTCTTGAAGATCATTTTGACTATAGCCTTCCAGGCGGGCCCACGCGAGGTTGGTGAGAGCCGTTGCACGGTCTGGATGGCTGACCGGACACTGGTCCAGAACCAACAAAAAATGCTCTACAGCATTGTTCAGGTGAGAGACTTTCTTGCTCATCACATATTTAGCAAACCGTGCGTGGCCCGCATCTGTATCTCGAGCCATTTTGCAGTCTGCGAGGGACTGCAGACGGAGTTGCATCAGCAAAAACTAATACAACAGAGTCCGGCGTCACTCACATCAAACAGCGCGTCGTTTTGATTGTCGTAAGCATGTACAACGGTGGCCTTTAGCGTGAGGGAAGGGTGGACCCCGCGCACGGGTGGGAAGGATATATCTACGAGATGTTAGTATATGCGCATGGATGAGGAGCAAGTGACTCACCGAATGGCTCGTCTCCGTGATCGAGTAGCTCATCCCACCGTAGTTTAAGTTTCCCGATGACTTCTCCGCTGCCTAGCATTCGATCGACCTCATAAGACGCCCTGATTTCCACTGAGAATCTAGGTGAGGCATGTGATAATCTATAAACCAAAGATCAGTTCTCGCATCGCGTCAGAAACTCCAAGGATTTTACAGAGTCACAGTATCCCCCCCACGCTACAGATTCGTCAGATGATAAGACACTGATGGCCGATTTCCAGTGTCTACTCGAGTCGACATCGATGGACACGTAAATACCAGTGGGAATGCGCTGGGAAGGGACTTTGAGATTTTTTCCGTTGATGACTGTAGATAGAGTGTGAGGATCATGAAACAGACACGAAGGTAATATGAAGTGACTCACCTTCAACTTTGATATATCGGGTTTCTGAGCTACTATGCGTGATTGTAGGACGAAACAAACGACGAATGACACGCAGCATTGGAAATTGAGAGGGTTTCAGAATAAGTGTAGGAGAATGCGAAGGGTGGGCGCGACGAGTGAGACTATGGATGAAGTTCGGCTGAGAGGGAGAGGAGAAGAGGTTGAGGGTTCAGGTCATGCTACACGTGTATTTCCATGTTGTCGAGGGCTGTTTGGCACGATAGACGCTGGTATGATTGCACCAAGCGCTGAGAATCGAGATCTCCAACCAGGATTAGCGAAGGAATCTGCTAAAGAAGCAGACAATATCATGATTAGTCTTCAAGGAAAATCACCCCGTCAAGCTTGAAGGGGACATGCTCAGAGTAATGTCTTATGTTGATTGTTGCTCCTGGACTTTGTCATGATATTCAGTTAGCACTCAAAGGCAAAATGTAGAATCGAGTGTATTTCGTAAGGTAATGGCAATATTCAAACCACTGAAGACGGTGCGCAAATGATTCTATACGACTCGTCTGATGAAACTGGCAGTGCCAGATGATCGAGAGCGTCGTGGAAACAACAGAGATGCAGCTTGCGAGAACACGACAAGTTGCAATATGAAAAAACTAAATGGGCCGTACAATAGATAACAATGAGTAACGAAAGCATAACTGAACAAGAGTCAGTATGAAAACGGCAATGAAGTCTTTACCTGAGCAACAGTCTTACTGGGAGACTCTATTGTACAGCCGACCCGCGCCTCTGGATGCCAGGAACGACCTCCTGGAAGAATTAAATGATGACATTGACAACAAAGAACTGGACCAGGGCCGGGATCCGAGGGGTAGTGACTGGCGGCGCCGAGGACGGCGCGATCAAAGTAATTGGATTTAACTATTTGCTTTTCGGTGTTTGCCGAAGATGATTCGAAGTCGCGCAAAATCAGACCTTTTTTGTCCGGATTGTGACCTGGGACAAATGACCATTTGACCCGATTTCTGTCCGGATGGAGGACTGGGTTCCATAGGCATTATCAGGGGTCCTAGTCGCGCAGTCTGCAGAGTACTATGTACTAGAAATTCAAAGATGGGTCACTCACACGTTCTCATCGATCCCTTCCCTCCCTGTCCTCGTTCTTACTTTGATTATATATACATGGAGACTCCATACTCAGCGCCTCGTCATTTAATTACCACTAGTCTACCACAATACCCCCCTCAATTCATCGTCGATTCGTGCCACTTGTCATGTCATGTGTCATTGTGTCATCATAGCTTGGAGAGTTGATCTAGGTAGGTCACTCGTAATCTGTTCTTGCTATTCGTTTGATGGTATTCACGCTCTATTTCTGTCCCAAAAATATCAAAGTTCACCCCAGACATATCCCAGGCTGTACATCAAACTTGATTCACGGAGATACTGGCAGGCAGCCATCCGAGTCTTGCCATTCGCAATATCTATTTAATTTGACAGTACTGTCAACCTACGGATATTGTCCTTACTCAGACTCGGAAGTGGCATAAGCTCACGTCTGCATAGACCTTTGATTCCACTTCGACCACATCCCGAGCAAGGCGACCCATCGGACTGAGTAAGGTACCACCAACAGTTTTTCCTTGACTGGCAAGGCACTTTTCTCGGCATCCATACACCAAGAAATATGGCGATGGTTGTGGATGAACGTACCTATATCTGGAAGAAGATTGAGAAAAGTTTGCCTAGGTGTGCTCGAATGTTGGAGCATGCGCAATTTACCTGCTTTTGTCTCACAGGTTCGTGTATTTGAAGTTTATAATCCGTGAAAGCGCTGTTTAGAACATCACAACTTTAAAACTTAAAGCGAGTACACGCGTCCTCACTTTTGGCCCTGCAGCAAATACTTATTCCCACTACTATACTAGGCTTGTGTTCTTCATGTTTTGATGGATCGCTCTGATTCACATGTTCATGAAATCAATCCCACGTCTTGTTTCTCCAAATTGTGGTGCAGCAAGTGCTTCATGCATGGGCATAATCACGTTCGATAAAGTAGTCGACAATATGTTTTACTGTATGTGATGGCATATCCTCCATCTTCCCTCGTGCCACTCACTTAAAAGAATGACTTTCACGTGTTGCTTTGCTCGTCTATTCTTCATTGTCCTGTCCTTACTCCGGTACTTTTACTGCAGGTCATTTCAAGTTTGGCAATCGGAGATTCATCACTCGTTTTCCTCGGCGCACGCTCCCGCGATCTCAAGGGGATATTGCAGAAGATATAATTATTCGCTCGAGTTTTTCTCCTCGTCTAATGTACTGGAAGTAGCACAATCTCTTCCATATGATTCTTACACAGGATCATCCACTAGGGATTCGGTGCCTAGCATGCGTTATTCCTAACACGCGAGACGGTGGGCACTGGTCGCCTCCTTGCATGATTAATTATTGGTTAGAAAGTCGGTAAGCTGCATATGGAATATATAACGGACCTGTCCATTCTAGCTCAGTTAGCATCCATAGTTCCATCATAGATCACTGAATGCAGTTTCTTTTCCATTGTATTTGCATATCCAGGTTGTGCCAGTATCAGATCTCGCTATCGACTATTATATCACTCCGCTTGGCAGCCTGCAACCTGACCCAGAGGTCGTCTTCTGTGAATGCCTGCTGATATCTTCCATGGGCGTAGCTGAAGTCAAGCAATACGATAAGTTGATTCCCCAGTGTGCATGCGTTTTCTCTTGTCTTTACTTGAAAGCTGACCTTGCCAAAGGCCCCATCATGTTTTGAACTACCATCCCTGCTATAACAATCACATTTTCGATGCATGACCAAGTCATACTTTGACCGTTTTCTACCGCACTCAACTCTTTTATTATGGCTGCCCTCAGGATCGATCACACTCATGCATCTAGAAGGTACTCATTACTTCACGAACCAAGAAACAGTGCGTCATGTTTCATTACTCATTCGACACCTGACGATCTGAGTTGTACCCAAAATACGCAGAGAATGTTCACAAAAGTGAAAAAAAGATATACGATGACGCTGAATACTATACGCAGGATTTGCTGGATGAACTCCAACGGACCGTTGAGCAGCCGAACCTCGCACTTGACATGTGGCAGGTTGACCTTGTGAGCGAGCAAAGGTCTTTAATGGTGACTCTGTCGTTTGTTGCTATTATTTCGCTAATCACTGATAGGTGTTTTCATTCGGTTGAACGACTCCAATCCCAAAGTTGTCATCTTCGACTTTAAAAGCGTCGTAGGTAGTAATACTTCTCAGCGGGTGTCGATGTTAATTTTCCCCTTTTTCCTTAAGCAGGATTTGCTATTCAGGCACAATACTGGTGTGTCCCATTGAAGTTTCGCACAGCGTCGTTTGCTTCGCTGATTCCTAACGAAAAATTTATATATTTAAGCTAACGCACGATGCAGGAGACATGAAGACTATATCCCTAACCTGTGTCCAGCGCAAAACCCTGTGGATGAAGTCAAGCATACGAAGTTGGTCCGTGCGACATGCGGTCAGTCCTTTCTTAGTCCTGATACCTTGACCTAATGATTCAATCGCAATTATCAGACCACTCAACATCAGACAAGTCTTCTGCAGCATTTCATGCTATCCTAGAAAAAAGGGCAAGCTGATTTGATATCTCCTTGCAGTTGTCGTGTGCTAACCCCTTTGCTCGAAGTCTCCGCTGCAGACCAGCATAAAGAATGATGTCACATTACCGTTGTCATTGGTGCGACTTGGAATCAAGCTCGATCCCTTCCTGACGTTGATTGTTATTAAGGACAGATTATGTATACATTCAGTCAGTGCTCGTTCACTTATCTATCTACCTGCAATTTATGGTCATTTGAAGGTACAGCCACTGCGGATTATCATGTTTTTTTTTTTTTTTTTTTTTGGATCCTTGTTTATTGTCCTGTGGGGCGGGGCCCTATGGTGGACACTACCTACAATATTGTACGTTGCTAAATATATATCGTGACTCTGGTGTGTCGGTGCTAATCAATGGTCCGTGCGTGAGCAGGGACAGTGACGCCGTCTCAAGGCGTTGGAATATTGTGTTACATTTTGCGTGCGCTTCTCCTCTTCTCTAGCTGCTCCCTCTTTCCCTTCTTCCTCATTTCTTCTCCTCTGGGGGGGGTGACGTCTCCGAAAGCCTGTTCCATTCTTCTTGTGCGCGCGATGTATTTGAGTGTCACTCTGATTCCTTTGCTTTCGCTTAGAAGATATTTGATGTGGAGCTGGCACAGTCCTACGTCCATGCTGAGTGCGTTGCGTTGTCTGGCGAATTTGGGGCATACTAACAGGAAGTGGTGGACAGTTTCTTCGTGGGCATGGCATTCCTGGCAAGTCGCTGACGGCGCTTCTAGCTATGCGGTGGAGATGTTTGTTGAGGGCGATTGTGACCGGGTGCGTAGTTGGAAGAGTAGCGTCCCGTGCTTTCTTGGTAGGTCTGCGATTTGCTTGCGAATTTCTTGGACGGAGCCGTGTGATCAATGGAGTTGAGCCAGTGTGTAACAGGGTGATTCTTTCATGATGCTCACGGCTTCGTCTTTGATCCTGCCATAGAAATGCTGTTTGAGAGCGGATTTGCTTTGCGGGAGTATTCTGATTGCACCGTCTCTGGTCAAGAGTGACTTGGGGAGTTCGTTGCGCTTCTGAGGAGTCTCCTGACGCGGCTTTTCTTCGCTTCCTCGTCC